TTTTGTTCTAAAATACACATACCAATCATTCGTTGATGGTCAATAAAGCGTGAGAAAGTACGTTACATAGGCTGTGGCAGGCTAATAATCTAATGCGTGCTACGCCCTCATCCCGAGCTTTTTGTCTTTGGTAATACTTAATCGCACGCGCAGTTGAAGACCGGTGAAAGGCAACAAGCGCGTGCTGGAGGCGTAGCTTCCACTCAGGGTTGGACAGTATCGCGATAGTATTTCTGAAATACATTTCGTATCTGTATTTCTGTGTCGCGATACATTTTTTCGCCAGTATCTGTATTCCTGTATCGAAATACATTTGGAATGTTTCTTGGTATCGCGATGCAATCAGGATGAAATGCATTTCGTTACATTTCTTAAGAAATACTCCCCACCCCACACCAAAAAAAAATCAAGTTTGAACTTTTGTTTTTACTTCTGAGGCCACCAGGGTCAACGGAATGCTGGTACATTGTTACTATGCTGATCAAGCTTCCTTCCGATTCTCCAAACTAGTTTTCTATGCGTCCTCTTCTCTCTTCTGAGAAGTGTTGCGTAGTCGGGGACTCCAACCAGGTGGCGAGCCAGGACTGGAGTCGGAGCGTCTTCTGCCGCAGGTCCTTAGGTAGAAATTTCTTGAGTCATTGTTTGCTGGCCTCCAATGCCTGCTGGTAACCGTCTCTCTTACCTTAGCGTACTCAGTACACCCAGCCGGCAAAGCTGAGTCACAGTCCGTTGCAACACCAGCCTGGCGGTGGTTGACTTGAAATAGTAGGATGACTCACGCAGTGAAGTTCAACACTTATTCGAATGCGTTTGCGGCTGCGCCCATAATATTGCACTGCTCAAGGGTACGTCATCAGCCGACGCGAACGTGACCCGCTGCTCTGGTGATCCGAAACCCAGGAAGGAGGTCAGACGTGGCCTCGCTGTGCTGACCCAGACTTTGTACACCTGCGACTCTTCTCAAGCGCGTTTTCTCGGAGAGCTCGCACCTGTGCCGGCAATAACAGGTCGCAATCCACGAGGTCTCTCTTTGGACGATGCTAGGTGGAACCTGAGGACTGCAATCCATACGTCGGTGGCGGAGGGTCGGCAGGAAGGACCTTCACAACAGGGATGCCACCGTGTCGTTATTTCAACCGTAACAGAAGATAAGACATGCGTTCCAGGATGCTTTAGGTGGTCCACTATTCTCGGAAATTCCAAATTACACTGCCTGCACGATCTTCAACGAGATAACCGACAACGAAAGTACGTATTGTCCTTTCATACAGCAGCGTGGTAATGTTTCATGCTCAAGGCCACATCTTCAGATGAAAAAAAGTAAAGCCGTTTACCACTCCCTGTAACGCCGAATTGGAGCGCAGCTCTTGAGGAGGAGGAGGGGAGGGTACTGAGGGCCACGGTTTCTCGGGGGGCTCACGTGACATAGGGGAAAGGGTCACCTGACCCCCCCGAGGGCACGTGACCTTGTTGGGGTCAAGTGACCTCGGGGGAGGGGGGGTCCGCGTGGAGGGGGAGTCACGTGCTCCCCCCCCCTGAGGTCACGTGATCTCGGGAGGGGATCACGTGACCTGGGGGTGTCACGTGACCTCGCGGAAGGGGTCACGTGACCAAAATTTCCCACTAAATTTAGCGGGGAAATTTTTCCGCTAGATCTAGCGGGGAAGTTTTTCCGCTAAATTTAGCGGGGGATTTTTCCGCTAGATTTAGTCGGGAAGTTCTTCCGCTAGATATAGCGGGGAAATTTTTTCCGCTAGATTTAGCGGGGAAATTTTTCGCTAGATTTAGCGGGGAAGTTTTTCCGCTAGATTTAGCGGGGAAAATTTTCCGCTAGATTTAGCGGGGAAATTGTTTCCGCTAGATGTAGTGGGGAAATTTTTCCGCTAGATCTAGCGGGGAATTTTTTCCGCTAGATTTAGCGGGGAAATTTTTCCGCTAGATTTTGCGGGGAAATTTTTCCGCTAGACTTAGCGGGGAGATTTTTCCGTTAGATTTAGCGGGGAAGTTTTTCCGCTAGATTTAGCGGGGAAAATTTTCTGCTAGATTTAGCGGAGAAATTTGCCCGCTAGATCTAGCGGGGAAATATACCCATAATGCACCGCGCGGTTACGCCGACGGTGACGGCGACGCCGACGCCGCTCAAGCCGGGAACGGGCGCCTAAGAGCTGCGCTCTAAAATACCAGTTCAATCCACCGTGCCATCATGTGATCAATGTTGACAGGGGCAGGGAAACGTTTTGATAGGATTTACGGTGACATAAAATTTATTTAGAGGCAGATGTTCTTTCGCATTCCTCGTCAGACAGACGGGATGTCAGGGAAGGGACCGCGGTCAGCCCTTGATGGAACGTTTCTTTGAGCCTTGTGGAATTAGGGAAAGGACTCGTTGTTTTTTTAGATAACAGAACGTGGTTTATTTTAGTGAAAACTCATTTAAGCAAAGCGAGCGAAGGACACCCGCCTTCGACCGTCGTTTGAAGAAGAAAAAAGTGGCACGCACCAAGCGTCGGTCCACGAGTCGGAGCTCGTCATTTGTGACCTCACAGTGGGGCGCGCCCTCCCCGCGGCTCCCCGTCCCTCTTCGCGGTTCCTTGGAAAGGGGCTGGTGCCTCGGTTTCGGCTCGTCTTCGAAGTCGTTTTCCCTTCCCTCTTCCCGGCTTGGGCATCCCCAAGTTCTCTTCGTTTTATTTTACAACAAGCTCATTGAAGACTCCTCGTCGGCCGAAACCACCACCTTCGAGGCAAAGGACCAAGCCTACGGGAAAGTAATTTCGGGATCAAAAACTTCCACTTCAAACTTTAAGTTTCATCTCAGTTGGCAACTCAAACACATTTTGAAAAATGTATTCCACTATCAGTACTTCTGTATTTGTATTTCTGCCCTCCCTAATATGTATTCCTGTATTTGTATTTCCAAAAACTTTTTGCCTCTATTTAAAATCATTTTCGATACGCATCGTGATACATTTTTTACAGATATATTTTCGGATCAGTGTTTTAGCTGCTATTTTAATGTATCGCAGTATTTGTATTTCGAAATATAGTTTTGAATATTAATGCCCAACCCTGGCTTCCACTCAATTCTTGGCCTGTCGCTGTCTATAGATATCTTCGGAAGCAGTTACAAACCATATAAATCCATAGAGCTCTACACATTTACTACCCGCCGCCAAAAGATAATAATGCTCTCGCGTCAAGAAAATACATTTGCAATGGTAGAAATTAGTATTGAATAACTATTAACAATCCACAGAAGCTTCACATAGGCGCGTTGATCGAACGCCAGAGCTCCAAAGATGCTCGCTGTTTCATCGCGAGGCAGTTTTAAAGTCGCGCAAATTTAGCGTGTATCCTTCCGTTGCTTTGTTGTTTTGAAGCGTCTTGTCGCGCGGAATTTACACACAGGCTAAACCTTCTCTCGCTTTCCTTTTCTGGTGCATTGCAGAACGTCTTGATTTTAATTTGCGATGATGCTGCGACAAAGGGCCACGAGGTTTCCTGCTTTCAATATCTAAGCTCCTACGTTGCAATATCTTTAAACAATTTCATCGTTCTGTAAAGCACCGAGTTTTTTTCTGCATTTTGTTGTTATGCTATCCATCTGTTCTGCATATAGAAGTAAATACGTTTACGATTATTTCCAGAGGGTATTCCATTTCAACGACTTCCCTCTGTTTCGGAACATTTTCAAGCGCCCGCCAAGTACAGGATGCCAACCCCCCGCCCCCCCCCCCCCCCCCCCGGACTTCTTTTGTTATATTCGCAAAATTAATTTACGTTTTATCGAACGCAAATTTTCCGCCCAAATGTAGCGCTAACGGTCCGAACAGGATCCCCGAGTTTTAGAGCAAACCGTTTCCTTAATCAAAAGTTAGAAGCGATTTTTTGAAATTTTTGATTTTTTCCTGTCGGCGTCCAGCCTACATCACGAATATAACGTACAGTACATCATTCGTTTCAATAAAGAACAGGCACAAAACAACCATCCGAGCCACATAATTGATGACAAGGCGCCCCTGGTAACAATGCGAAGTACGTAGCGCTCACCGCATACGTTCACGGTGAAGATTACTGTTGCCCAAGCTGCCGCGGCGACGGCAGTTTGCGACGTGGGGAGTGACGTCACTAGCCTTTTATATACAAAAGAAGATCCCGCCTATACTCCGTTTTACCTTACGTCCGGACGGTGCGGACGCTACGAGCTGTCCTGTTCTGTAGACGTGGCCCGTAATACGCTTTCCGTGCGTCGCTGTGCCCCCTCTCTAAGGTCAGGTGACACTCACATGGCCTCCGATCGGCTTCGATGGCTCGTGACATGGGCTGCGCTTGGACGTAAGGTGAAACGGAGTAGAGTAACAGATTTCAGTGTTGTTGCAGCACCGCTATGAGTAGGCCACGCATAGTTAGGACTCCCGAGGAGCAGCGTGAATACTGGGAGCGGCAAATGGACAAGAAACGGCAATACGAGCAGTGGCAGCACTTGGTATAATGCGGTGGGCAATCGTTGCAGGTGATACTACAGCTTTGCTGGCCAAGAATTTTCATAGCGTGGATTGGAGCCCCAATTTTTCCAATGCTTAAACGGTGGCCAAAAGAGTTTATGAATTACTTTGTCCTTATCTTGTCGCGCTGTTTAAACAGAGATGTTCGCGAACACATGGGGATTAAGTGCCCACGTATTTGTGGGCCATTTAAAATATGGTACAGGAATGGCCTAATAAAAATAATTTTAACCTTCGAAGAAGATCCCGTTTAGTTTCGAAACTTTTGCATTAAGTTGGGGCCGCTACCACTTAATTTGGGCAGAGAGTGAGCGTTCGGCGACGCGAACTTAATATTTAATATTAAGGTAAAACATTGTCATTTCTCGGGGGACACGCTGTATATGCACTGAGTTCAGATTCTCTAAGCAAAAATAAATATATATATATAAGCCTAAATTGCAGAAAATAGGGTAATACTTTGCTAAGACACGGACGTCGTCGACAGAGCCCGTGAAGATGCTGCAGCAATCGGTGGGCATCCGCGCCGAGCTGCAGGAGGTGGTGACGTCGTACCGGCTGCTCTTCGAGGAGTCTGGCCTTCCGGGCCTGCGCTTCGTACTGGGCTTCCACCTGAACTCGCGACGGCTGGCCTGGCTCGCTCTGTACGCCACCCTCTTCACGCTCACCATGTGGGACACGCACCGCCTGCTCGCCGAGTACTACGCCTACGAAGACCACGTCAACCAGGAGGTCCTCGAGGTAAGAAGCCCGGATCTTCTGTCCTCGTACAGTTCACAATGAGGCAGACTGAATGTCCACGGGCGAGCAGTACGAAGTTATGACCTTATCAAATAGTTTACTATACGGTGAGGAACTGAGGGAGAGGAGCAGATGAGAGCACGGAACCTGAGAGCGTCGATCTCTGCTTGAGATGATTAGTGGGTAGACGCACTAGCTGCCGTTGTTTCTATTCACCTTTCGATCAGACAGTGAGTACAGGAAATGCCAGGCCGTCAGCATGTTCTTTTAATTGCCTGCTTGCCGTAGACTTCACAGCTGAAACACCTCTTTACCCTTTTGATCCTCTCCAACCGACCATTCAAATATATTTATCTCACAGTATACCGATCTCTCCAAGCGTTCGGTGCATGCTCACATTAATAGCCTGCTAAGATCGGTAATCTTGACGGTGCAGAATGCACGTTGCAAAAGAACTGCGTAAGCTCGCCGTCAGCACCCAGGATCCTCGGTTCAATTACCACCTCTGCCCGTTTCGATCCGGATGAGTATCGTACCGGCGTGCCGTCGTGTATCACTACTACGTGGTGCACGTTAAAGACCCCAGACCCTTTCCGAAATTCAGTGCCATCTGGTGGTTTGTAAAGCAGTTAAAGTTTTGCCATATCAATGGTGGAAATGAACTTGTATCGGCAGCGTCACTTTCGCAAGTCAACGGCACGCCAGGAATTGTTCAGTGTGAATTCTTTCTCCATCACTTTCAGTTCGATGGTGACCAAGAACCTGCATTCAGAACAAAGGTCCGACCCACTCAGAGGCCTCGAAAAAATTCTATACACCAAAGTGTTTTAAAGCCGATTGTGTGCCGCCCACAGATTGACTCAATCTGAGTTATTAGAAATAAAGCGCTTACGTAGCTCTTCTGTTTCATTCCCACGTCGCGTCGTTCTGACCTCCCGAATGTACAGGCCTCGGAAGATCCGCTGAGGAGCATCTTCAACGTCTTGCTTTATCAGTCACTAGAAGGCCGCCATTCGTATGGCACAGATGCCGTTCTACAGATGATGATAGTGATCAAAGTGGCCGGTCTGAATTTCGGAAAGGGTCTATTGATCATCTAGAGCTGAGACACCAGAACTTACGGCTGTATAAACAAAAACACAACAATTTGCTTAGCTTTGCTCGCCGTCAGGATGCTTTCAGGAGCCGCGCACGCAGCTACGGTGGCCAGTAAATCGCGGTGAGAGGCTCGCTAAGGGCGCTTTTGTTTTCCTCATCATAGGGTGCCTACATGTCTATCTGTCTGAGGGTGAAGACATCAATTGTTGCCCTGAATGTGCCAGCGCGTGACGCTCTCGCGCACTCGTTTCGTGACCTGGGCGGTAAAATGACGTCTATGCATTAGCCAAATCTACGCGCTCGAGCTGAGTGACACCAGATTCCGCGCGCTTCAAAATGCATGAAGAAACGATTGGGCGGAAAAATGGTTGAGATGTCATTACCCAAGCAAAAGCGCGCGTGTGTATGAAGGCACTCTACCTCCTCATCCTAACTACGGGTAGTGCACGTGCTCCCACGCCGGTATGTTTTAATTTTCATGGTACTTAGAAACATGGCATTGCACGTGCTTGAATCAGCAGTGGAAGTTAAAGCATCATCACTCTGGGTTGTTCAAAAATTCCATCACGCGGCGATACACGAACTTCTCGCGGCGAATAGAGCCACTAAATGAGCTACGCTAAAGCCTAGTTCACATGCAGCGGTTTTTGCCCTAGAGCGGCGCGATTTCTGCCGTCGCGGCGCTCTGGCTAGCACCAGCAATTCTGCGGCACGAGCGCCGCGACGGCAGAAATCGCGCCGCTTTAGGGCCAAAATCGCTGCATGTGAAACACGCTTTAGAGTATCGGCACTCTGTTCAGGGCCGCCCACACTAGCGAGAAAACGCGCGTGGCACGCCGATCGCGGCAAGTAACAAAATGTCGCCGAAGCACAGTCAGCGCCACGAGCGCGTGCAGAGACACGCCCTTTATCTTGCCGCTTAACCGATTTATCGGCGCGCCGGGCGCGTTTTCTCGCTAGTGTGGGTGGCCCTTTCCCCGATATTGTTGTGGGTGCCGCCATCTTGGTCCTTGTGCAGAGCAAACGTAACTGCCGATCGACATGATTCAATATTGCGACTTCCTCAGCCTTTAATTCGGTGTTAGGAAGTTCATGAAATATTGCTTCACTCTGTCGTGAACTGTTTAAACATTTATGGAGGACGGAAAGGCGTCTCCTGTAATTTCAGATAAAGCTTCTGATAACTAGTGACCGCAATTTTAAGCCCCAAGATGGGTAAGCGACGTTACTCTGAAATATCGCCTATTTAGCGGACCGCGAATAGGCGGGCAACAGAGCACGAGACGTTTATACTGTCTTGTACTCTACACGCGCAATACTCGAGTGAGGTTGTCACACGCGATGGGAGACAGAAGTTCCCTCGATGCATTGCGGCAGCGATAGCGGAGCCACACTGGCTGATGACACACGTGATGTCACACGCGATGAGAGACAAAAGTTCCCTCGATGCATTGCGACGGCGGTAGCGGAGCCATACTGGCTGATGACACACGTGCTGTCACACGCGATGAGAGACAAAAGTTCCCTCGATGCATTGTGGCGGCGGTAGTGGAGCCACACTGGCTGATGATACACGTGATGTCACACGCGATGAGAGACAAAAGTTCCCTCGATGCATTGCGGCAGCGGTAGCGGAGCCATACTGGCTGATGACACACGTGATGTCACACGCGATGAGAGACAAAAGTTCCCTCGATGCATTGCGGTAGCGAGAGCGGAGCCATACTGGCTGATGACACACGTGATGTCACACGCAATGGGAGACAGAAGTTCCCTCGATGCATTGCGGCAGCGATAGCGGAGCCACACTGGCTGATGACACACGTGATGTCACACGCGATGAGAGACAAAAGTTCCCTCGATGCATTGCGACGGCAGTAGCGGAGCCATACTGGCTGATGACACACGTGCTGTCACACGCGATGAGAGACAAAAGTTCCCTCGATGCATTGCGGCGGCGGTAGCGGAGCCACACTGGCTGATGATACACGTGATGTCACACGCGATGAGAGACAAAAGTTCCCTCGATGCATTGCGGCAGCGGTAGCGGAGCCATACTGGCTGATGACACACGTGATGTCACACGGGATGAGAGACAAAAGTTTCCTCGATGCATTGCGGCAGCGATAGCGGAGCCATACTGGCTGATGACACACGTGATGTCACACGCGATGGGAGACAGAAGTTCCCTCGATGCATTGCGGCAGCGATAGCGGAGCCACACTGGCTGATGACACACGTGATGTCACACGCGATGAGAGACAAAAGTTTCCTCGATGCATTGCGACGGCGGTAGCGGAGCCATACTGGCTGATGACACACGTGCTGTCACACGCGAAGAGAGACAAAAGTTCCCTCGATGCATTGCGGCGGCGGTAGCGGAGCCACACTGGCTGATGATACACGTGATGTCACACGCGATGAGAGACAAAAGTTCCCTCGATGCATTGCGGAAGCGGTAGCGGAGCCATACTGGCTGATGACACACGTGATGTCACACGCGATGAGAGACAAAGGTTCCCTCGATGCATTGCGGCAGCGGTAGCGGAGCCATACTGGCTGATGACACACGTGATGTCACAGGCGATGGGAGACAGAATTTTCCTCGATGCATTGCGGCAGCGATAGCGGAGCCACACTGGCTGATGACACACGTGATGTCACACGCGATGAGAGACAAAAGTTCCCTCGATGCATTGCGGCGGCGGTAGCGGAGCCACACTGGCTGATGACACACGTGATGTCACACGCGATGAGAGACAAAAGTTCCCTCGATGCATTGCGGCGGCGGTAGCGGAGCCATACTGGCTGATGACACACGTGCTGTCACACGCGATGAGAGACAAAAGTTCCCTCGATGCATTGCGGCGGCGGTAGCGGAGCCACACTGGCTGATGATACACGTGATGTCACATGCGATGAGAGACAAAAGTTCCCTCGATGCATTGCGGCAGCGATAGCGGAGCCATACTGGCTGATGACACACGTGATGTCACACGCGATGGGAGACAGAAGTTCCCTCGATGCATTGCGGCAGCGGTAGCGGAGCCATACTGGCTGATGACACACGTGATGTCACATGCGATGAGAGACAAAAGTTCCCTCGATGCATTGCGGCAGCGATAGCGGAGCCATACTGGCTGATGACACACGTGATGTCACACGCGATGGGAGACAGAAGTTCCCTCGATGCATTGCGGCAGCGATAGCGGAGCCACACTGGCTGATGACACACGTGATGTCACACGCGATGAGAGACAAAAGTTCCCTCGATGCATTGCGACGGCGGTAGCGGAGCCATACTGGCTGATGACACACGTGATGTCACACGCGATGAGAGACAAAAGTTCCCTCGATGCATTGCGGCGGCGGTAGCGGAGCCACACTGGCTGATGATACACGTGATGTCACACGCGATGAGAGACAAAAGTTCCCTCGATGCATTGCGGCAGCGGTAGCGGAGCCATACTGGCTGATGACACACGTGATGTCACACGCGATGAGAGACAAAAGTTCCCTCGATGCATTGCGGCAGCGGTAGCGGAGCCATACTGGCTGATGACACACACGTGATGTCACACGCGATGAGAGACAAAAGTTCCCTCGATGCATTGCGGCAGCGGTAGTGGAGCCATACTGGCTGATGACACACGTGATGCCACACGCGATGAGAGACAAAAGTTCCTTCGATGCATTGCGGCAGCGGTAGCGGAGCCATACTGGCAATTTTCAGAAGAAACAAATTTTAAATAAATATTATTGCTATATATTACAAGCAAGCTATACCCATAGTTTGTTTTTAAAAAGTATTAGAATTCTCATAATTTTATCGGTTTAGCTATTCACTTTCAAACATGCCCCTCTATCAGTGTGTGTTAAGGCAACTGTCCACCTCTTCATGC